TAACGGCGACGCTTCGTCCCTCGAAAGGAACCGATAAAAACCTCCGGAGCATCTTTTTCTCGGTACGACTTTCGACGGACGATCGCCTGGAGACAGGCTAGGGGGAACCTTGGGACAGGTGAATCGGCCACTTAAGCAACCGGCCATCTCACTACGGCCAGGATCGTATGGTGTACGAGGGGGTTGCATTCCCAGTAGGGTATCCGCGGATCGGTTGCCGCGCAATTTATGATGTCTTTTTACGCGCCCGTCTCCTTCTTCGTTTTTCCTTCGACCTTTTTTTTCGTGTTCTATTCGACACGCGAACATGTGCACGCACACCAATCCCGGGTTATCGATCTCTGCCGATGATGGCTGACAGCGCCACCGCCAGCCACCCCCGTCGCGCGCATATTTCCACGTGCATATACATCCGCAAGAGAGTTGCGAGCGTGTCGCGCGACCGTCACGCAACTGTTTCCGATACTTGTCTATCCTTGTTGTATCGTTGATTTTTTTTTTTTTGGTATTATTTTTTTCGTAGCATGTCTTGCTCACTTTTTGCTACGATATATGGTATGTTTGAAGTGCAAAAACCATGTTTAATAAACAATAAACGTAGTCCTGTAGAGGATTTTCATTTTTTCTTCCAGAGTTTTTATTTAGCTACCTGTTTGTGAAATTGATCATGTTTGTCTGTGGTAATGATACGAGGATAGAGAAACGTTGTGAAATTTAAAAAAAAACGTAATAAATGTTGGGATGGTTTTCAATGAAACTTTTATATACATATGTATTATCAGGAATATGCAATTTAATCTTCAGTTTGAACGAGTACCTTCGCTGTTTGTGTAACGAAAAATTACCGAATAGAATGATAATTGTTGGATATAATTTCAAGCCCTCGTAGAATAATTGGACACGTACTGCACACTCGTTCAGCACTCTTTTACGAGAAAGCTCAAAGGGGTGGTTAATTAAATATATGAAAAAATTCCATATATAATAATCTACAACAAAATTTTAAAAAATTCACACATATTTATATACTTATATTCTAATTACACGTATACGTCATTGACAAATTAACGAAGCATATAGTCGTAGTCACATGTTGGATTTATCTTTCGCACAAAATTCGTGCATTTCCACCTAAATAAACAAACTGAGGTAATTTTTCACGGTGAAACGATGCAAGATCGAAGGGAATAAAAGATGTCGAAGACCTCGGTAGAAAAACAGCCCTCGAGGGACACCACCCTAACCTTCTTCTGTTCTCCTGTTGTAAAAAGCCTCGAGCCATCCCAAATCGAAGCCCATTTGACCGCGAAATCGATATACGTCCCTGCCGCGGCCGTTCAAAAGAGGGATAACGAGGATTTTTCGTGCAGACGATACTTTCTCGGTCGCATAAATCACTGATCCAACATTCCTTTCTTCGTCTGCCGACGAGCTTGTTGATCTGATAAGACAACATCCGGAAGGAGAAGGAAACCGTCTTCCCTTGAAGAAACTGATCTCGGAGAGATCCCGGGGAGATCGGCGGACAAGGGAGAAACGAAGTGGCTGCAGAGAGCGAATATGTGGAGAGAGGTAGCATGTACGAAAACGTGGAACAAGAAGTCAGAGAATACGAGAGAAGTGGTCCATCTGAACGAGATGAAAAGTTAGTTTTGCGTTATGAAAACCTGATACACAGAAGCTGAAGAATCATCTCGACGCGTGGTCCAGATGGAACGAAACGAATCTTCTGTGACTGGTGTGACGAGTTGACAAATATTAGTCAGAAGTTCCGTAAGAAGTTACGGAAATGATACCTAAGTCCTTCCTTTCTTATCGATTTCCTTCATTTATAGTTACGAGATAATTCATCAGATCGATAAGAAGTTACGGAAATGATACCTAAGTCCTTCCTTTCTTATCGATTTCCTTCATTTATAGTTACACGATTATTATTTTTAAAAAAATGTTATTACAGATCTGGGACAATATTTACAGTTAGATAAAAATTTAGCCTTAAATATCTTTGAAAATTGAGTGAAAGAAATTCGGTTAAAATAAGCAACCCAATTAGTGTGGTTTCTTTTTCTTAGGTAAAACAATGCATTCTTTTCTTGTGAAATTTTTAATAACAGTAGCTGAAGATAAATTGAAATTATTTGAAGAAAATTGAAATTTAGTATTAATCAATGGTGGGAGATATGAAAGCTAATGAAAGTTTAATTAAGATGAACAATTGGACTGTTCGAGATACATCATCAACGAAGTGTTGTGTACAAGGTAGGGTTGAACGTATATACATAGATACTTAGGTGTAGATATAGATTGATATGAAGCTTGGAATTACTATAACTGACAGCGAACCTCCTTAACTAAAATGCTACCCTATTACGATGGAAACACGAAAGTGAGTGACGAACAAATGCGACAACATCGACCGTGGCTGCACCTACTAACACGGAGAGGAAAATGCATTTTTTGTTGCATTTCCCGTTTTCTAATGTTAATTTTATTTGTAGCAGAAATTGCATCACGCAGTGCGCTTGCCATTTAATAACTTCGTGTACAGTTAGCCTTCCGTAAGAAAATGGCTTCCATTTAATGCTGCGTGATATTTGAAATTCGTAAGATAGTATAATTTTAGTTAGGTTAAGCCTTCGTATCCTAGTATTTCACGTCGGATAAACTAACAGTTAAATATCGCGTGTCGTTTGGTGAACGGAAAAATTACAACTTTCATCCGTGCAATTTAATATAATTACATATAATAAGACATGCTGTCACATACTCTATACACCGTGTTATTTCTTCCAACACGAATTACCACGCTGTATCCTTTTGAAAGGGTGAAAGAGATCCGTCGCGTTTACTTACGAATAAAAAGTAGCTTGAAAGCACCCTCTTTGCCATATACTACCCGAATATTCCATCTAGCCTGCCAACATCCATTCAACTCTATAAACCGCGCATTCTCCGTAGTATTTATTCCTTACATCCGCTCCGTATCTCTTTTCCTTCGATTCTAAGAAACACAGAACAGCAGTTAATTATCAAAATTAATTAACCCGAATTACATACTAAATGAACTAATAAAAAAAACTCGAAGATAATTAAATATACTGTAATACAAATAATTTGTAAGAAGAAGAATTACAAAAGAGTAGATATCTTATCTGAAGATAGACTTGCTCGAAAGAATTATGCACGATAAAATTTTAATCGTGGCAAATACTTTGTTGTTTGTTCGTTTGTAAAAGAAAAAGGAATTAAACTATTTACGTCGATTTAACTCTGTAATTGGCTTTCCTTCACAATCGGCTATTAATACAATTGACTCGATAGGGAAGCTTGGTGGGAGAGCGAAACGGAGAAGTGGCAAAGCTTGAGCAATCAAACTGGTCCAGAGAGATCGTGTAAGATGAAATAGATACCAGCTATCCCTGCATAACAGCCTGATCGAAAGATCATCTCGAGAAATTGTGCACTGTCGCATATCTCGATCATCTCTATTCTCGCAGACTCGAGGTCATTCGATTGCGCCTCGCCTCTCGATAAAATCGAATGACTCGCGCGACGAGAGTCGGCGCGTAAATTCAAGTCCTCCGACGGTACTTCCTTATTCTTACTTCTGTATCTTCGTAGAGAATTAACGTTACTACGTGATATAAAATATGATATAGCAGCTGGTAATCATCTTTTAACTATATCAACACCTTCGATAAAACCTGTTCCTTTTTTTATAATATTAATATATTTTTGTAAACGACAATACTTCGGAGACCTTAGAAAATTTCTACACTGCAACGCACTCTGAATATAACGAATAGATATAACGAAATTATTTAACGTAACTTATTTATAATTAACACGAACACGATGAGTGTTTAAATATTAAATTTCATTCTAAATTTAACAATACCCGCTTAAAGATCATTTTAAACAGCTTAAAATACTACAAAATGTATTATGAAAAATTAAGAAGCACAGTTTAGATGTATATTATTTTATATAATTTTTATGCAATCTTCTTTCGAAATTCTCTTTCGTATAAACAATACCAAGAGATATGTTATGGTCATTCATCTCAAGGCTTGTCATTTTCTATTCGTTTTGTCGTTCACACATTTATAAATAAGTAAATCACTATAGGCATTGTTAGTAGCCGAGCAATTTCCCCCTTCGTGATCCGTTCGTCTCCCTTTCACACGCTACTTCGTAACACATTGATCGCGTAACGCATGAATGGAACCGGTTACGTCACTCCTACACACGCGCGCCGTACGCGCTACTATGGAGTTTCTTACGAGAGAACGGCTACTCGGTTTGCTGCGAGCCTGATACAGACGAAGCACAAAAGTGAGTGGTGAACAAATGGTAGACGAACGACGGCAACATGGTAAAAACTAAGAAAGCGAATGGCGTTGGTCACTTGAACAGAAACGGTTAAGATGGCGACTTGTTTTCTCCTTGTCTGCGTCTTTGTGGGCCGATTTCCACGCGGTTCTTCTCGCGACACCTCTCTGCAACGACGCGCGTTTCATATTGAAATTGGTGGTAGGTCGTTGCTTACGGGTGAACCAGCGAGGAACGAATTCTTGGTGGTTCATGGACTCCTGATAATCACAGGACAAGAATGCGAGTGGTAAACCAATAGCCAAGAACGAGGCGAGACGAGAAGAACGTAGAATGGGGCTCGGGTGAATGAAAAGTAAGGAAGTAAGCTGAATAATGTGACAGAAGATGTTTAAGTGTGTTTGATGCTGCCCCGATGTCATTAGCATATAGAGTTTAAGGCTGTGTTGAAACGACCGTGAATACCGAGAGACGTAGAAATCGATCCGTGGTGACAAAATCTAATGATTATTCTTCGTTTTATTCGTTGCATTTTATTTGTAATTGTAATTTTTTTTTTGTTTTTAATTGTGTAATAAAGGAGGAAAGAAATAACGAGAAGAAGCAAATGAAGTAAAGATATGTTTTTCTAAGATTTTATTCTATGTTTTAATATAATTACAGTTGTTGTTAATATTATATACTAAAGTAATACCGAGATGGTAATTCTGTTAAATAAATTCATAGCATGACATCTTTGTACATGTTTTTCCAGTAATCGTGGTTGTCCTTCAGTAAATCTTTCTCCAGTTTCAATTCTTTGTTAATGTTCAAGTAATAATTTTCATTTCCCATTGGTTCCCAATTTGTCGTGATATCTTCGTCCATTTTCGATGTTGGATTTCTAAAAGCAACGATCATGTGAATCTCGATAAAATTTGCTGAATTTGTTTGTAAAATTGCAAACCTATCTCTGGCGAAATTCGTCCATAATTTGATTAAAGTATTTGTCATCTTTTCCGCTGAGGAACCTGGTTCTGGTAGATTTTTCATAGCATTCGAGTAAAATAGATACGTCAACTCGTCACCGTGTGCAACTCCTGTTAGATGCAAATAAACAAATATTTTGTAAGATAATTAGAAAAATTGAAAAAATTAGCGATCTTACCGTCGCTAATGCCAAACAAACTCTTCATAAAACCGAATGGCGCCTCGTAACTGAATAGATATTGATAAACAGGAGACGAAATTTTACTCCTTATGATATCGATGGATAACATCGTTCCGGCGTTGACGAACGTGTCACTCATCATCTGTAAAACAAATGAAATAAGTTGGATTTATTATACAACAGTAACATTATTTTTTCCGTTTGAAAACAATAATTACCGCAGCGTATTCGTTCAAATTCTCCTTTGACACTTGTTTATCCCCGAAGTAGAATTTTTTTAAACTCTCGCCAACTTCTTTCTTCGCGCCTGCGTCGGTGACGTTCAAATCACCTGGCAAAAATTTCTCTGGTTCCGTGTTCAATAATTCAACGGCGTCTAACATTTCTGCGAAAAAAAAAAAATAACAAGGAGAAACGAGAAACGTGTTATTTCAGACAATTCGTAACATGACTTGCAAATGATTGAAATTACATACGGTGCGCGAATAGTAGACCTTCACTGGCGACGATTCCAGCCATTACGGGCACATCAGCGATATTTCCAGTCTTTATCAAGGTCCATGGATCAGTTGGAAGGAACATATCCTGACCAAAATCGACTTCGATAGTTGGAACGAAAGTGAAGAGGTGTCCGTATAATCCGTCCTACAATTACACACACAAAAAAGATTTAATTCTACTTCTTCGAACGAATTAAAAGAAAATTTCTGAAGAAGTGTTAATCTCTTTTCCTTAACGGAATAAAACAAAATCTAGGAATACCTGATTTTTCGATATTTCATTAGTAGCTGCAATGATGTCACTGGCGGCAAATTCGCTCAGTTTATGCACCAATTCCCCGGAATCTGTAGTGTGTATTCCAAGGGCCTCGCCTAACATGAAAGCTTGCTCTCTTGCATTATACGATACTGACCATGGATTAAGCAATGACCCACTTTCCTCTATAACGCCACTGAACAAGCCTAAGACCGTAGAGAGATAATTAAAATTCACACATTATTCGAATCAACGATACAAACATGCTAATAAAAACATTAACTTTCACATATTTCATTTGACGTTATATACTACACTTTTATAAATGCAACAAAACGAGGATTTTTACGAACCTTCAGACATAGGAGATACCATGTGATATTGAACAGAGGCTCCACCGGAACTGTCGCCAAAGATAGTTACTCTATTCGGACAACCACCAAAGAAATGTATGTTATCTTTCACCCATTTCAACGCCATAACTTGGTCCTTCATTCCAGCATTTCCAGGCGCGTTTTTGTCCCCGGTGTTCAAGAATCCTGCAACGTGAAGCAACTGAATAATTAATTGAGAAATTTATTGAAATCATTAATTGCCTTAACGATAACATTTCTAATTCTTAAATATATCAAATGTTACTTACCTATTGCTCCAAGTCGAAAATTGAAAGTAACGACCACCACGTCATGTTCGATTAAAAAGTCTGATCCAAAGATAACATCGTCTCCCATGCCTGAGTTAAAGCCACCAGGATGAAACCACACCATAACAGCTTTACGAGCTTCCTTATCCAAGACTGGAGTGTAGACGTTCAGATAAAGACAATCTTCGTCACCGATCAGACCCTTTTTAATCATGCAGAAAAATGGACACGGTGAACGATGCTTGGTTGCATCGTACACACCTTCCCATGGATCAGCTGGTTCTGGTGACTGAGAATTATCAAAATGTTTAACAAATTTTGCATTTCCAAGTTAGAAAATTTCAACGTTTCACTCATCTTGATTAGGTACTTGCTCCTTAAATTCCACGAACAATTTAGAAAATATTACGATATTAAAATCAAAGTTGAATTTGATTTACAAAAAATATAATTTTTTCACAGAGTCTGATATTGCAAGTCAAAGAATTAAATAGCGTACAGATTATTTTATAATAAATTCAACGTAACGATGAGCCAGGAATACATAAACGAACGCAAGTTACAAAATGCAAAATCATTGCTGGATTGTTTGAAGTTTATAGTTAACAATATTTCCACTTACACGGAACTTGTTATGGCCAACATTCGGCTTCGCATAAGGGATGCCCTTAAAACTATAATACGGCTTGTTATGCAGAATCGTCTCGGTCTTTAATCCTTTTAGGATCCCCTGAGAAATCTCTAGTTGCACATCCTGGTCGGCACGCGTACAAGTAACCACGAGACCGAAAAGCACAAGCTTTGACAGCCACATTTCAAGCAACTAACTACTCTGAAATTCTCAACGTCGCTTTTATAAAAGAGTAGAACCAGCAGAACAGTCGCTTATCAACGGTCTAAAAAGACAGACTGTGGAAAAATAGTTTACGTAAAAGTGACATCGAATGTGATCGTGATCGAGCATGGATTATAATCTACGCGACACGCGACAATCTTCCTCATGTCCATTGATCGTAGTGATTGTACGACGACGTTCACTTTTCGGATAGTTAAATATCGGATATCCTAAATTTATCGTGATCGTCAACTAGTCATCATCTATTGTGACTGGACGAAAATGTTTCCGGAATCAACGGCAAAAATAGACGATGAGTCTGAGTTGGCTAAATATTTCTGAAGCAAATTGTCGTGCATTATTCCGATAAGGGGCAATTAGACACGCTTGCATGGCCACGCATTGAGACAATCGCACTACGAATTAACGGAGAACGTATGACATGTAAAACGTCGAAATTTTCCAGATAATTTTTTTCCAGACTTTTCTTACGTAAAGTTATTAAAACAGTATTTCATCGTGTATTTTTTTAGCAAGACACGATAGAGTCGTTGTTGTAAGATTTATCATGTAGTTCGATCTTATTGATCCTTTATTTAAAAAAAATCGTAAATGTTTCTTTTCAAATGTACATTAACAAATTTCGTTATAATTGTTGTTTCACTATATCCGTGGATATAAATTGCAAGACAGTTATTACATTTTATTCCAATAAACTTATCATTCATAATTTTCAAATGACAAATCCTCCTCTACCAACCAGAGTGACAATTTCATTGCAATCGGTACACAAACTTTCACGTTGAAACGTAACAGATCCTTTCAAACGAGACTGATAAAGTTTATAAAAGACATCTTATAATTCCAACCTGAGCTTTCCATTAAGACAGACAGGCACACGAGCAGAAGAAAATAGAGAAAAGCAGCGAGAACGCTGTTCGATGGTTACCGGAAACTGCTACAACGCGCGCACTTGGAGCGCAGGGCGGAAAACTCGCGGGGGTGAAAATTGTAAAGTTACAACGGAGTAAAACCCACCTCCCAGGCATTCCTACTTTCCTAGTAATATATTTAATATTACTTGATATTTACGTTAAATTATTAAATTAAACAATTTGGTGACCTGGTTACCCCTCGTGTCGCGTACAGTTCAGACAAAAAGTTTCTTGTCGCAAATTTCCTGCTTCTTACATCGTATCGATTTTCCCTTAAGGCAGACAACACGAACACAATTCTTCTGTCTGTCCTAGTCGAACAAGATAGGATTCCATTTGTGGAAGTGACATTGGTTCGATGGATAATTAAAGATAATTTGGTGGATATAAATTGTTGAGTCGAAATTAGGGGGTAGAATCGAATGAAACGTTAATGGAGTCGATATCGAAACCGATCGAAACGTGGATTTCGGAATAGCTGACCTCTTCGACAATCTGCTTGCCTGCTGTACAAGCACTACTCAGCACACCCTCTGGATTCCCACAGGACGTGCGTGTATCCCTTTTATACAACACAAGCCAGTGGCTATCATTTATAATAATTATGTCTTTAATAAAGAAAAAATAAAACAGTAAAGATGATCATTTTTATATTTTATTGCAGAAAATGCAGTGTAATTACATGGAAATGGTTAAATATTAGAGATGAAGATATAGTAAATTTTAACAAACTTATTAATTCGGTCACATATCTGTATTATTATGTATTTTACAATTTTGCATCTGTTAGGTAAAAATTGGAAATGAATTTCAGGGAATGTACTTAAGTATGTTCTCGTGGAAACTTGGAATTGATCAATTCTAGTAATAGTAAGTTAATTTTAGATTTAACGAAGTAGATCAGATCAACAAAATTGTTCAATTTGTGATTGATTTAGTAACTACATATTTAGCTAATAATACCTACTATTGTACTATTAAACATATTTTTCGTTAAATTTGTACGATCTAATGTTTGTGAAAAATATGTGTATTAAAAATTGAATGAACTATTTTTTAATATCAAT